TGTTAACATTTACTGTGGTCCAGTAGTCAATAACATTTACTGTGGTCCAGTAGTCAGTAACATTTACTGTGGTCCAGTATTCAGTTACATTTACTGTGTCCCAATACACAGTGACAATAATTACAGTGGCTTAAGGTGGCTCCACACATCGTCATCAGCATCCATTTTCGTGATGTACTTCCGGAAAAAGTACAGCCTTGATTCAATTATCTTGATCGAAATGTGCATGTACACCATGTCGTCATTTCCGTATTGCGTATCGGGCATTCAATATTGTAGTGCAAATTATAGTAAAACGCGGGCCGTTTTCATATAAACGGTCAAACCGATCGGACCACTGTTGTTCGTTTATTAAATAAGGTTGGACCTAGTAATCTGATGCTGCTTTCAGTCGAACCTTGAGAAAGCCTTGCAAGACCTGAATACACAATTTGCAGGTCCGCAGGGATTTATACCCGAAATTGTTACATTTATAAACGGTCAAACCGGTTGTTCCGCATAAACGAACAGGCCCCTGGTTAACAATAGTACATGTGCGTGCCGTATAATCACACGTACTTCGGGAATAAAGCTTTCCAATTCATAGGCATTAACAGACTCATGGGAAGACAGTGACATGAGACAAGAAGACCTCAAGAAGGTCATATAGGAAACACATGGAATGCGGACGTACCGACCTCACATGGGCATATCACGTGCTTACACGAATTCATAAGCTCGAGGTCGTTACGATTTTCACTGTTGAGCGAGTTTCGCCCTGTCGATTAACTTGTTTTTACAAATGTAGTCTATTTACTCTGTGAAAATAATGTTTTGTAAAATATCAAGATCCCTATGAAATGCTTGTGTGAGTGCACGTGAAAATGGCATACCTCTGGTCACATATGTACCAGACATGTTATCATAAATATTCCGTGAGTTAACGGACTGTGGAATGATGTCCAAAGTGTACATGACTGAGAGTCATTGGGTTCCATTAAAGAAGAATAAATTGATAATTTTGATATCATATTTTTTATTTATTTCCATCATTTTTGTTATATGTAAACAGAGACAACCGTCGATTCTTTTTCAAGGAAGATAACTCTCACCTGGATCAAAGTGATAGTAAAATGTAAAATAAATTAATTATAAAGCCATTGTGTATATTTTGTTCAATTACCCACTCTATATGTATAGATCTTTGTTTCCTGTTTGCTTTTAGCTTGTAGATAATCACTTGTATTCATAAAAATTCAATAAAAAACACTTTGTGTAACATGTGTTACACATTTTGCGATAATAAAATACTTGTAGGGTTAATTAGAAATGCTTCTTTTCATTTTACAATTGTAGTTATTGTTCCAAACAATGCCACACACAAACAAAAAAAACGGAAAATATTAAAATTGACGAAAACTCAATTTTTTGGTATTTTTTCCAAAAAAGTCCCCAAACTATCGGAATGTTTAGATTTTCATAAAATCAACTCTACATAGTTGCATAACCATTATATGCAAGTTTCAACGAATTTTGAAGGTTAATTGCGAAAGTGTGGAGCCACCTTAATTAGCGCTCAGTAGCAATAACTGCCAGCCAGCACTATCTAACATATTAACTGGGGACCAGCTAACAATACACATGATACTCTGATGCACTAGTTTGTTTGTTTGATGTTTGTACGGTTCACTGACAGGACCACATGAGTCCAGTATATGTGTATAAATATCTACTTGTACAGTGATATTCTGATAGGAAATAATTGCATTACTACTACAGATGTATGCTGTGAATCTGTATACCAATACGACATGTATCGTGCTGTGTTATCCATTTTTGCATCACTAAACCACCTGCAAATGATTATAATACATCACAAATAAGCAATACTATCAGAGTTATTTCCCTTGATAAACCACCCTGTATCTCAAACAAGAGTTATGTCCCTTGAAACACCATTTCAAATATGAAAAGATATAGCTACAAGCCTTATAATATGTATGTAGTTGATAAAGCACTCATGTCCTTTGTACTTCTATATGTACTTATGTTTATTATTTGATAGAGGGAGGGAGAATACATGTCTTCTAGATAGTAATATTTTTATAACAACATGTTAGAAAGAATTCTTCAATATCACACTTCCATTAAATAAAATCTTCAGGGTCAAAGTAAATATATTTGTTACAAACTTTAAACTAGTACTAGAATAATAAATTGGCCTAATTCATTTTATTCCAAGAGGTTCACATCAGAAATAACAATGTGTCCTTAATAACCACAGGGGTATTAAAAACAATTAAGGCAAAGTAATGCAGGGCAATCCAATTATGGTCGGCCCATCCGCGATGATTTCATTATTTACCAACTCAGCTATACCTAAGTCAGGACTGACCTACTGTAAAGAAAGTATCCTTATACAAATCTAGAACAGGGAAACCTTTTCCAATGACAGTGGTCAAAATGTCAAAATATAAATATCAGAGCTTGCTTTTGGTATATATCTTATATCTCAGGATAATATGGACAAACTAATTCAATTACTGAGGTCAGAGGTCAAATGATATATCACAGTGATTAACTTTTTGTAACCTAGCTGCACTCTGCCTTCATTAGATATACCTGCAAAGTGAATTTGGTTGATCTTTGTGAAATAGCTAATAAAGGAGATATGCTCCAGATAAAATGTCTAAAGTGTAATAAGGTTGAAGGTCAAAGCATAGGTCACAGTGACCTACTTTTCCCACTTCGCACTCCACATCAATGTGGAATTATAATGTTTTGTTTGGATCTATCCTGAAGTATATATAAGAATACTATTGGGTGTTTCTGGTGAGATATTTTAATAGTATACCATCACTGGGAGATAATATTTTCACCAAGCATTGATCATCACCCCTTAAATGTCTGATGATACTATATACAATCGTCGAGGAAGAGGTCCAACCGAAACAAAGATCATCACTAATGGCTTTTATGCTGTAATTCTACTGTATCCAAGCTTAAGGAGTACCTTCCTGTCATCAAATTGAGTGACGTAATACATCAAGTGAAACTGTTAACAAAACTCTGGATTCACATTTGTAAAAAGTATGTATGGAAGATTCACATTTTCGCATTTGTAAAAAGTGTAATGGGAAGATTCACATTTTCACATTTGTAAAAAGTTTATTGGGAAGATTCACATTTTCACATTTGTAAAAAGTTTATTGGTAAGATTCACATTTTCACATTTGCAAAAAGATTAATGGGAAGAATCACATTTTCACATTTGTAAAAAGTTTATTGGGGAAGATTCACATTTTCACATTCGTAAAAAGTTTATTGGGAGGTTCACATTTTCACATTTGTAAAAAGTATATTGGGAAGATTCACATTTTCACATTTGTAAAAAGTGTAATGGGAAGAATCACATTTTCACATTTGTAAAAAGTTTATTGGGAAGATTAACATTTTCAGATTTGTAAAAAGTATATTGGGAAGATTCACATTTTCACATTTGTAAAAAGTGCAATGGAAAGAATCACATTTTCACATTTGTAAAAAGTGTATTGGAAAATTAGCTGACAATCTAATTTCAAATAATGTCTATGACAGGATGTAATCTGTCCTAAGTGAATTTTAAACGAATTGTGTTCCTATTTTTATTTACTTTTTTTTAAAAATGACAAAACACTTATATGTCTGTCATTGTTCTACTCTTGAATCAGTTGGCACATCACATTTAGTGACACAGACAGTTTTTGATGATTCTGTGATTGACTTATAACTGTATCCATTAATTTCTGTTCAGAAGATTAAACAATAGTTTCTCCTGATACTCAATACCACCGTGCATGTTGCTGTTTTGCTAAAAGTCAACATCGATGAGTGAAAATCCAGAATATGGTTGCCCTATAGACGTATGTTACCACAGCTATGACAAGCTTTAATTTCTACCAGGTCATGTCAAAATGGATTAAACTTCTGAGCGCAGATGTTTTTATATCACTAGATTATAATTAATACCACAGCTCCCAAAATAAAAACTTCTAACATCAGGTAGAATTATTTAAATCACCAAAATTAAAATCACTATTATTTTTACACTAGTTTTAGGATATGATTACAAAATTTTCGCATCGCAAAATATCCCACTTAACAGAAATTAAAGTCAAAAGCAATCATAGATGTATTAAATTGAAGGAGGATGAAGTTTGAATGTTTGAATTCAATTCAAATGAAAGTGAAATACCGATAGAAATATTAGGATTTCTGAAAATTAATATATTTAATGATTAGACGTTTTGCTTTTTCTCCCTTTATGGTACAATGTAGCTCATGGGAGATATTTTAGAGTTGATTTAGAATTATGATTACTGCGGTGTGACACACAGAATCTTATGTAATGCTGTCACCACTGCTAGACCCAGACCACATAACAAAAAGTTGCAAGAGTTATCTTTCTTCTTGCCATATCACATTTGAGCAGCATTTCATCCATGATATATTAGGTAGATCCTCATCCTGACATCGAACCTTTCACATAACAATAGTCTCTTCATTATTGTACTTCCAAAAGAATACCCACCACTCTTGAACCCTCCCACCAGTCAAGCCAATTAAGTCTTGCATCATCATGCCATCTCCCATTTATAATGTTAATATTACACCTACCCAAAAAAACTAATCTTTACATTACATCTTATCCCTGAAATCTCATCTCTCGGAACCTTCCTTTGACCCCCCCACCTCTTCTCCGACCCCTCACCACCTCTTCTCCGACCTCTCACCTCTTAATCCCCCCATTCCCATGCATGCTATACCCACAGCTCCCTTCGCCCACATCCCTAATTTAGTACCTCAATCCAAAACCCTCCCTACCCAAATATCGCAAATATCATACCTCCCTAAACCCTACACCCAACCCTTCACCCCCAATAATCTTCCATCTCAAACCACTTCCCTCACCTTCGTTACCCCTCACCCCTAATATCCTTCCAAACCCTGCTCCCAGTCCCCGTAACCCGACTGCCACAAACCTCTGAGTTAATGATGGTGATGTCAGCTGGGTGGAAGCAAGGGTGATGGAGTTCTAGTCGAGGACACTCGGGATTGAGTGCCTCCACGTACCACGATATATCTAGCTGAGGGTTGACCTGTCGACACACCTTTAACAGCTCGTCAAATCGTTTGTGCTGTTCGTTAGCCTGTAAAGGATGCAAAGTATTGATGAAGTACTCAAAATGTAACACACCGTGACGCGTCAATATTTAATCGGGATAAAGTACCTGGTACACTGATCACCTACACCCGTTGTGGTAACCGTGCTGTGCTTTTCAACGAATCCTGTTGTTTTCATTTAATTTCAATTTTTCAACAAAACAAGCTAGTTAACACATTCATCCCTGAAATTTCAAAATGAACTATTCTAACCTTTGAATTGGAAGAGTTCAAATGTGTCTCCAGGGGTGGATGCGTTAATCTACACATGGTATTATACAATACCCAAATATAAAAAAAAAAATGGCTATACGGACATTTTCTTTGTGTATAAAATCTGAAGTGAATTAATCACAGTCAAACCTGTATTAAAACACCAACCTGCATGGGTTAAATCTAGAAAATGGTCTCTTAACACAGGTGGTCTCTTAATACAGGTTAACTGTCCTTAAATGACCATAGCTGTTGATAGGACGTTAAACAATACTAAACCAAACCAAATACAGGTTAAATTCACAATCAAATCACTACAATGGGAAACATAAACTCATTCACCCCTGAAGTTTCATAATGAACTCTACCAACCTTTGAGTTGGAAGAGTTAAAATGTGTCTTCAGGGTTGATTGAGTTAAAAAAAGTGGTCTCTTCACACAGGTGGTCTCTTAATGGAGGTGCAAACAATATAGCATATAAGTTTCCTTAATAAACAAGTTGTGCTTTAGGCAAGTATAATGTATTTTTGCCTCAATTTGTAATCTTTACCTAAAAGTTAGGGTCCAAAAAATAACCTATGGTACATCTTTAAGCAATGGCAGATGTGTATCAAATTTCATTTTAACATGGTAATGGTCAAGATATTTAGGAATCATTCTTCGCATAAGAGCTGTTAACGAATGAATGCATGCATGGATACCAATTAAACCACAAAATATGTATGACAATAAAGAAATGTAGAAATTTGTAGAAAACTGTTCTTTTATTTAACTATAACAAGCCAAAAAATAATTCTGGATTTTTTTTTTATGCTGTTGCAATTTGTATCTTATTTTTATTAATCTGTTTAATTTTCATAAACAAAAGTCTTGTTATGAACAGGTAAGGTTCCGCTGCATTCTTACCTTTGTCAACAGAAGCAGTGCGTGACTCTCTATCGCCACGTTAACAGTATTGCTGGTATCTATGTAAATTTCCTCTAGTTCCTGTAATATAATACAGCAATCAATACACACAAACGACAACAATCTAATGATGACTTAATTACATGTCTGTATCTCAGCAGTTCATGTCTGTATCTCAGCAGTTCATGTCTGTATCTCAGCAGGAGCAGATTTTGTTTATATACCAATGCATTTTTTTAATTTTATTTTTTTATAACAACTGATGCTGTTCCGAATCTATACTTGGGGTGGGAATCGAATCGTAAATGCTGTTAAACCATCTTTGACCTTTAACTGTGGCCTTGATCTTTAGGTTAGCATTAAGATAATTGTATGTAAACAAAGCATCAAGTGGCGATACATTTACAAATCAATAATGTGTAAGCATCGCTAACAAATGTACCTGCTACATTTCATAATTTTAATAATTACAATTACATACATCTATAACTTTATCCTAGGGTTGGGCATTATAATATAATTAACCCACCCTATACAGTTTAACTGCACTTAGTGTTATAGTAAGAATGTGTGCTACCGAATTACGGGTTATTTACGTGGGCTTCAAATTTTCCCCGATTATGACACAAAATTTAGAAAACTGAAATTTACACAGATTATAATTTTGCGATCCAGACCCAAGAAGGAACTTTTTCGTTGTGGGTTAGTAAAGAGACGGGAAAACCTGCATGTCAAGTATCAAATAGTCAAATAAATACGCTTTATTACAGCATATTGAGCGACAACAACTAAGTGTATTTTGCTAAACAAATCATTGAAAAAACTATTACATGTGTGATATAATCTATTTTTCAAACATCTTGTATTACTCTTAATTGACGTAAATGAATCGTTACAACCACATACTAGTTATTTCTTGAAGACATTACGGTTATGGAGTTCATAGTCGGGACTCATTTTTGCGCTTTATCATATCATTCTGCGGATGATATTTTCACTATCACAATATTATCCAACGAAATCAAGAAAATATCATCCCCGCGGAAATATCTATACCGATGATATGTGTCAGAACAGAACTTTTCAGTAATGTTAAAAAAAAATACCTCAGCACCATCATCAATTCATGTGCACAGCTTTCAAACTTGTCATCAACTTATTAAACAAAACCTGAACTGCCAATCATAAATAGGATTTTTACAGGTGAACGAAAGAATCTCTTACCTCTAAAACTTTTGGTATAACCATTTGGAATTCGTCTATAGTTCTGTTGGAAGCCCGTATTTGGAACACATATTCGTTGTGTGCATTGTAGAACTGTGCTTTGGCATTTTCCCGTGATATCGGTGTGCTACAATCCTGATATTGTGTGTAGGAATTCTTATACTCCTCCTCTGCCTAGCAAATAGAAATAAGAAATGGAATTTTCACCTTTCTCCATAATAAGTCCCACAGAGTAATGTGAATCTTTTAGACTGCATAAACAACTTCCCATTAATGACTCAGATCAGCCCCTAACATCTTCCCCTTCGAGCTGACTCTGAACTTTCTGTCAGGACCCAGAGCCCCTAACATCATCCCCTTCTAGCTGACTCTGAGCTTTCTGTAAGGACCCAGAGCCCCTAACATCATCCCCTTCTAGCTGACTCTGAGCTTTCTGTAAGGACCCAGAGCCCCTTGCATCTTCCCCTTATTGCTGATTCTGAACTTTCTGCAAGGACCCAGAGACCCTAACATCGTCCCATTTTAGCTGATTCTGAACTTTCTGTCAGGACCCAGAGCCCCTAACATCATCCCCTTCTAGCTGACTCTGAGCTTTCTGTAAGGACCCAGAGCCCCATACATCTTTCCATTTTAGCTGGTTCTGGACTTTCTGTAAGTATCCAGATCCCCTATACACCTACCCCTTCTAGCTGATTTTGAACTTTCTGTAAGCACCCAGAGCCCCATACATCTTTCCATTTTAGCTGGTTCTGGACTTTCTGTAAGTATCCAGATCCCCTATACACCTACACATTCTAGCTGATTTTGAACTTTCTGTAAGCACCCAGAGCCCCTTACATCTTCCCCTTATTGCTGATTCTGAACTTTCTGCAAGGACCCAGCGCCCCTAACATCTTCCCCTTCTAGCTGGCTCTGAACTTTCTGCAAGGACCCAGAGACCCTAACATCGTCCCATTTTAGCTGATTCTTAACTTTCTGTAAGGCCCCAGAGCCCCTACCATCTTCCCCTTCTAGCTGGCTCTGAACTTTCTGCAAGGACCCAGCGCCCCTAACATCTTCCCCTAATGTGAATCTTTTAGACTGCATAAACAACTTCCCATTAATGACTCAGATCAGCCCCTAACATCTTCCCCTTCGAGCTGACTCTGAACTTTCTGCAAGGACCCGGAGCCCCTAACATCTTCCCCTTCGAGCTGACTCTGAACTTTCTGCAAGGACCCGGAGCCCCTAACATCTTCCCATTTTAGCTGGTTCTGGACTTTCTGTAAGTATCCAGATCCCCTATACACCTACACATTCTAGCTGATTTTGAACTTTCTGTAAGCACCCAGAGCCCCTTACATCTTCCCCTTTTAGCTGACTCTGAACTTTCTGCAAGGACCCAGAGCCCCTAACATCTCCCCCTTCTAGCTGACTCTGAGCTTTCTGTAAGGACCCAGAGCCCGTACCATCTTCCCCTTCTAGCTGCTTCTGAACTTTCTGCAAGGACCCAGCGCCCCTAACATCTTCCCCTTCGAGCTGACTCTGAACTTTCTGTCAGGACCCAGAGCCCCTAACATCGTCCAATTTTAGCTGATTCTGAACTTTCTGCAAGGACCCAGAGACCCTAACATCGTCCCATTTTAGCTGATTCTGAACTTAATGTAAGGACCAAGAGCCCCGAACATCTTCCCATTTTAGCTGATTCTGAACTTAATGTAAGGACCAAGAGCCCCGAACATCTTCCCATTTTAGCTGGTTCTGGACTTTCTGTAAGTATCCAGATCCCCTATACACCTACGCATTCTAGCTCATTTTGAACTTTCTGTAAGGACCCAGAGCCCCATACATCTTTCCAATTTAGCTGGTTCTGGACTTTCTGTAAGTATCATGATCCCCTATACACCTACGCATTCTAGCTCATTTTGAACTTTCTGTAAGGTGTTCCTTACATCTTCCCCTTATTGCTGATTCTGAACTTTCTGTAAGTACCAAGAGCCCCTAACATCTTCCCCTTCGAGCTGACTCTGAACTTTCTGTAATGACTCGAAGCCCCTAACATCTTCCCATTTAGTTGATTCTGAACTTTCTGTAAGTACCAAGAGCCCCTAACATCTTCCATTTTAGCTGATTCTGAACTTACTGTAAGGAGCAAGAGCCCCTAACATGTTCCCATTTTAGCTGATTCTTAACTTTCTGTAAGGCCCCAGAGCCCCTTACATCTTCCCATTTTAGCTGGTTCTGGACTTTCTGTAAGTATCCAGATCCCCTATACACCTACCCATTCTAGCTGACTCTGAACTTTCTGTAAGGACCCAGAGCCCCATACATCTTCCTATTTTAGCTGGTTCTGGACTTTCTGTAAGTATCAAGATCCCCTATACACCTACGCATTCTAGCTGATTTTGAACTTTCTGTAAGGTGTTGTCGAAGTGTTCCCGAAACACGTTGAGGCGCTGGGCCTGACTTTGTTTGTAGGTGGCCATCTCCTCTAACGGCTTGTACACGCTCTTTATTAGCAGACTTGCCGCATCCAGGTGTGCCTGCACAAATAGAATCCTTCTAAAATATATTTATAGTCTAAATACATCCAGGTGTTTGCACAAATACAATCCTTCTAAAATATATTTAGTCTAAATGCATCCAGGTGTTTGCACAAATACAATCCTTCTAAAACATGTCTATAGTTTTAGGGCATCCAGGTGTGCCTGAATAAATACCATCCTTCTAAAACATATATATAGTCTTACTGCATCCAGGTGTGCCTGCATATGTACTGCATCCAGGTCAATGTTAACAAGATCGAGGCCCAGAGGGCCTGTATCGCTCACCTGGATATCTATAAGCAATCATAGCAAAATATTCTACAAATGAGATCCAAGGGAATATGCCAGAGCCCAAGGCCAATCCTTGTAGCATATCTGTATTAGGTTTTTCATGCCAAGCAATTTAATGTATGGTTATGGGTCGGGGATCTCAACTGCTTCCAAGCTGTGACTAAGAAACTATGGTCCCTAGGGTTGTGGCCAGACCCCAGGGTCTATTCTAATATCATGACTGCATTCCTCTCTTTATGCCCAACAATTGAATATATAATTTGGGGTGGGGATCTTAACCATTTCAAAGTTATGATTCAGGGGTTATGTCTCCAAGGGTGGGGCAGACCCTGGGGCAATCCTGGAAGCAAATGTGCATTCTTCTCTTTATATGGTTATACGGTAGGGATCTCAACCATTTCCAAGTAATACACTTTTTTGTGCCCCACCCCTTAGCCTGGGGGTTAGCCCCACCATTTGTACAATTTTGAATCTCCACCACCTAGGGATGCTTCCAGTCAAATTTGGTTGATATTCATCTCTTAATTCCAGAGAAGAAGTCGCTTAAAGCAGTATAGCCAAATAACACTTTTTGGCCCCGCCCCTCAGCCCCCTAGGGGGTCAGCGACACCAATTGTACAATTATGAATCTCTGCCTCCCAAGAAATGCTTTTGATCAAATATGATTGATATCCAGTGCATAGTTCTACAGAAGAAGTCGTTTGTAGCAATATAATATGGTTGATATCTATCTCTTAGTTCCAGAGAAGAAGTCGCTTAAAGCAGTAAAGCCAAATAACCCTTTTTGGCCCCGCCCCTCAGCCCCCTGGGGGGTCTGCCCCAACATTTGTACAATTCTGAATCCCCACCACCTAGGGATGCTTCCAGTCAAATATGGTTGATATCCACTTCTTGGTTCCAGAGAAGAAGTCGCTTAAAGCAATAAAGCCAAATTGATCCCTTTTGGCCCCGCCCCTCAGTCCCCTGGGGGGTCAGCCCCACCATTTGTACACTTTTGAATCCCCACCACCTAGGGATGCTTCCAGTCAAATTTAGTTGAATTCCAATCAGTGGTTAAGAAGAAGAAGTCGTTTAAAGAAATTGTTGACGTACGGACGACGGATGCCACGGTATGGCATAAGCTCACCTTGATCCTTTGGACCAGGTGAGCTAAAAATATAATCAGTCAATACAATCCAGTTAATCAGAATATTTTCCAAATTCAAAATGCAAATGCATCAAGTTCAGTTACTTCCTGTCTTACCTGAGTTACTATGGGTAACTAAGAGCAGAACTTGATGTTTAGTTGAGTCGGTAGGTAACATACTTGATTATGTTCAGGTGAGTTGGTATGTAACATACTTGATTATGCTCAGGTGAGTCGGTATGTAACATACTTGATTATGCTCAGTTGAGTCGGTATGTAACATACTTGATTATGCTCAGTTGAGTCGGTAGGTAACATACTTGATTATGTTCAGGTGAGTCGGTATGTAACATACTTGATTATGCTCAGTTGAGTCGGTATGTAACATACTTGATTTTGCTCAGTTGAGTCGGTAGGTAACATACTTGATTATGCTCAGGTGAGTTAATAAAAAGTAGTGAGTGATCCAGTTATAAAGTTTTATTAATAGCTGACTCACCTGAGCAGCAAACTCTGTTACATGTCAACTCACCCTAAGTGTCAAGTTCTATTATTTGTTGACTTACGTACCTCAGCTTGAAACTCTGTTATTTTTCCCTCACAGAATCAGCAATTTATGTTACTCCCAGCTGGCTCACTTGATCATTAAGCTAGCTGTTATTAGTTGACTCTCCTGAACACCATGGAGGTTTATTTTAACTTTCTTACTACCCTGAGCACTAACAAGCTGTACTATATCTACAGACTCACCTGTACAATGGTCTGTATTGCTTGTTGACTCACAAGATTGTTAATAATGGTTATTTGTTGACTCACATGACCATTTAATTATGTTATTTGTTGATTAACTAAAGTATTAAGTTCTGATACTATTGAGTTACCACTAGTATGAAGATATTTCTTGAGATCTGAGACTCAGGTTACTGTAACTAAATTATTAGTGACAAGAATATTGAGTTGACTATAACTTATAAAATCTCTAACAATCTAACAATCAAGTTTTATTACTTAACCTACAAGAGGATCACATTCTGTAACTGCCTTTGTTGAAAGTCACCTTCTTTTTTGACTCACCTGAGCATCAGGTTTTGTTTTTGACTCACATTAGCATCAAGTTGTTTTTTGACACATATCAGCATCAAGTTCTGTTTTTGACTCACATGAGCATCAAGTTCTGTTTTTGACTTGCACGAGCATCAAGTTATGTGTTTTGGACTCAAATGAGAATCAAGTTCAGTTTTTGACTCACCTATGTGTCATATCCTGTTGTTGACTCACACAAACATCAAGTTTTGTTTTGACTCACCTACGGTCTTACCCTGTTGTTGACTCACATGAACATCAAGTTATGTTTTTGTCTCACCAATGCATCACACCCTGTTGTTGACTCACCTGAGCATCGAGTTCCGTTTCCTGAAGTAGTGTCTCCCATGCATTGTATATAGATGACGGGGTGTCTACTGGCCTGAAGGATAACATTGATTGGAGAGGAGAATCATTGTATGTTCATCGTCTTATTTCTCTCTATAACTTTAACAACAAGTAAAATATTTATGTAGCTAGCATTAGCAAGTGTGATAGATATGGAAACTTCACACCAGTGTGATATTCCAGCACCTACTGATTTACATTATACAATTATAGCCTTCTGATTAGGTTGATGCATGGTTTTGTCGACCTGAGAAAAAATAATGACAGACAATATTTTTTCCCAGGTTGATAAAACCATGTATCGACCGACTTGTAGTAGATGTGGTACAAATTCAATCATGTTATATACGTTCTGGACTCGCTATCTTTAACAGGTTATGCATTAATATTACTGTATAGGTCTGTCACATTATATATAAAACAAGAGGCCCAAGAGGGCCTGTATCGCTCACCTGAATATGTAATCAGTCATAGCAAAATAAGTACTTGTAAGTAGGTAAATGTCATTTTCCTTCTCAAATTGGTAAGCTCTATTCCAAAAGCTACCAGCCAAATCTTATGAATCCATTCCTTTCAGTTCTTAAGAACAAATCCATTAAAATGTTGTTGACCTCTGTGACCTTGAGCAAACTTTGTTGGGCTCTTTCCCAGGAAATAACCAGCCGAATATTAAGGTTCTATAACTTCCAGTTCTTCGGAAGAAGTCATTTGAAGTGTTTGACATATCTGCCTCATGTGACCTTAAAAGTAGGTCAAGGTCATTTTCATTCTCAAACTTTGTTGGGCTCTTTCCTAGGAAGCTACAAGCCAAATATAAAGATTCTATACCTTTCAGTTGTTCAGAGGAAGTCGTTTGAAGTGTCTGACACATTTGACCCCTGTGACCTTGAAAGAAGGTCAAGGTCATTTTCTTCCTCAAACTTTGTCGGGCTCTATCCCAGGAAGCCATCAATCAAATATAAAGATTCTATACCTTTCAGTTCTTCAGAAGAAGTCATTTGAAGCTTTTGACACATTTGACCCCTGTGACCTTGAAAGTAGAACAAGGTAATTTTCATTCTCAAACTTTGTTGGGCTCCATCCCAGGAACCAATCAGCCAAATATGAAGATTCTATACCTTTTAGTTCATCAGAAGAAGTCGTTTGAAGTTTTTGACATATTTGACTCCTGTGACCTTGAAAGTAGGTCAAACTAATTTTCTTCCTCAAACTTTGTTAGGCTCTATCACAGGAAGCCACCAGCCAAATATAAAGATTCTATACCTTTCAGTTCTTCAGAAGAAGTCATTTGAAGCTTTTGACAAGGTGACCCCTGTGACCTTGAAAGTAGGTCAAGGTAGTTTTCATTCTTAAACTTTGTTGGGCTCCATCCCAGGAACCAATCAGCCAAATATGAAGATTCTATTCCTATTAGTTCTTCAGAAGAAGTCGTTTGAAGTGTTTGACACATTTGACCCCTGTAACCTTGAAAGTAGATCAAAGTCATTTTCATTCTCAAACTTTGTTAAGCCCCATCCCAGGAAGCCATCAGCCAAATATGAAGATTCTATACCTTTTAGTTCTTCAGAAGAAGTCGTTTGAAGTTTTTGACATATTTGACCCCTGTGACCTTTAAAGTATGTCAAGGTCATTTTCGTTCTCAAACTTTGTAGGGCCCCTTCCAACAAAGCTTTCAGCCAAATATCATGACTCTAGGCCTGTCCGTTCTTCAGAAGAAGTTGTTTAAAGGAAAATTTGACGGAAGACGACGGACGGACGACGGACGCCGCACCACGACATAAGCTCACTTGCCCTTCGGGCAGGTGAGCTAAAAAAAACGATGTATCATGATACACAGGCATATCATATCTTAATACAGAAATGAAATGATGCTGAACTGCAATATTTTTCATAATCTTAATTATTTTTGCAGCTCTGCTAGGTGTTTTAGCTTTGCAAATTCCTACACATTCTTACAGATATACCTGTACCAATAATCACAGACGGGGTTATTACTGAATATGAAAATCAGTTGAAATGTCATAATAGATATTTGATATAAGAAAACAGTAAATCTGTGTAATCCATACAATATATGATACTATTTGATAAAATTCTGACAACAGTTTCTTTTTAAAATTAACACTTTTTCTTTATGACAATTTATCTGGATACGTATTGTAATACATTCCTATTTTTTATTCCACCATAAACTTGATCAATACTTAATGATTTTGATGATCTATAACCAACCTCTCTTTCAGCAGTTCGTAGTTTTTCCTGCGGAATGATGATATCACAGATTGTATTTCTTTAGAGAAGTGTTCATGGGCGGCCGCCATCTGTTGTGCAAATTCTGCCACTGTGAAAATAAACAAACAAACATTCAATATGTTTTGGTCCAATTCAAACTGTCATTTTCATTGCAAAGCCCTGCATTGGAACTTAATAGTTTCTAACCTTATAAGAACTTACTATAGAGGATAAAACCAGTAGGCGTAGTCTTGTTTTAGAGCGTTTCACGCTTTAATCGTTGCCCTTAATCATGATTGCGCCAATTGAAGTTCTTGTACATGGTTCTTTATTGCATATTTATGGAATGTGCTAATTCATCAATTCGCGACTATATTGAAATTTGATAATGCGCTAAAATTTGAGTGCGTTGAAATATGTACATTTACAGTACATTTTTCAGGAGATGCAATTAAGACAATTTGGGTATTGCTCTTGCATAATTGACTCATACAGTGCAGACTGAATGCAGAGCTGCTTTTCCACTCATCCTTATAATGAAGTTAGCTCATACTAGTTTGCGTGAACTTCTCGATATGGCAATGCATCTATTATGTTAAACTGAATCTCCTGTTTAAAATCATAACAACACATTTAACCTTATCTTTATAATTGATCTCTGATAACGATATAACAACAGCAACCAAGCATTAACAGGGTATTCAGCTCGATATTTGATGGAGATGTAGTACATATGCATCATATAAATTAATATCAAAACTAATAATTGGAGTGTATTGATAAACGGAAACAGGAAGTACATCCCTAGTTGAAAATCCAATGTAGGGAGACAGTATCACAATTTCCGCAAATTCTAATGTTTAATATTAAACTGATGAATATTGTATGTTTATTATTGACAGAACAGTGTGTTCTCTCAATATTAAAGTATTTCAAAGCAATCCAGGCATTAATTCAGGTTTTTTTTATCAATGAGTCACATGTGTCCATTTTTCTGTACTTCAGGAAACCGGCTACCTATTTCACTACTGTGAAGTTTTTCAAGAACGATAACTCTTACCTGCAATTACTATGTGTATATGGTTTTATTATAAAATGTCAATTTTTATATCGTGTATAGAGAATTAATTTTACACAATTTCAGCATTTATTAAATTGATATACATTAATGCAATACTAATATATGTCAGTATCATTTTTATTGACATTATTTTGTAAAAATATTGT